ATGTAAAGATTATAAACAGTCCTATAAACAGTCCTATAAACATTTTATGAATTCCAATAAGGATAAATGATCGGTCAGTAAATGCAGAAAGTTTCATGTAAAGATTATAAACAGTCCTATAAACAGTCCTATAAATATTCTATGAATACCAATAGGCAATAAGGATAAATGATCGGTCAGTAAATGCAGAATGTTTCATCTAAAGATTATAAACAGTCCTATAAACAGTCCTATAAACATTTTATGAATTCCAACAGGCAATAAGGCAAAATGATCGGACAGTCAATGCAGAAAGTGTCATGTAAAGATTATAAACAGTCCTATAAAGTGTCCTATAAAAATTTATGAATTCCAACAGGCAATAAGGCAAATGATCGGTCAGTAAATGCAGAAAGTTTCATGTAAAGATTATAAACAGTCCTATAAAGAGTCCTATAAACATTTTATGAATTCCAACAGGCAATAAGGCAAATGATCGGTCAGTAAATGCAGAAAGTTTAATGTAAAGATTATAAACAGTCCTATAAAGAGTCCTATAAACATTTTATGAATTCCAACAGGCAATAAGGATAAATGATCGGTCAGTAAATGCAGAAAGTTTAATGTAAAGATTATAAACAGTCCTATAAACAGTCCTATAAACATTTTATGAATTCCAACAGGCAATAAGGCAAATGATCGGTCAGTAAATGCAGAATGTTTCATGTAAAGATTATAAACAGTCCTATAAAGATACCTATAAACATTTTATGAATTCCAGTAGGCAATAAGACTAAATGATCGGTCAGTAAATGAAAGTTTCATGTAAAGATTATAAACAGTCCTATAAACATTTTATGAATTCCGGTCATAAATGTAAAAGAGTCCTAAAGAGTCCTATAAACATTTTCTGAATTCCATTAAGCAATAAGGATAAATGATCGGTCAGTAAATGCAGAAAGTTTCATGTAAAGATTATAAACAGTCCTATAAACAGTCCTATAAACATTTTATGAATTCCAATAGGCAATAAGGATAAATGATCGGTCAGTAAATGTAGAAAGTTTCATGTAAAGATTATAAACAGTCCTATAAACAGTCCTATAAACATTTTATGAATTCCATTAAGCAATAAGGATAAATGATCGGTCAGTAAATGCAGAAAGTTTTATGTAAATATTATAAACAGTCCTATAAAGAGTCCTATAAACATTTTATGAATTCCAATAAGCAATAAGGATAAATGATCGGTCAGTAAATGCAGAAAGTGTCATGTAAAGATTATAAACAGTCCTATAAACATTTTATGAATTCCAATAAGCAATAAGGATAAATGATCGATCAGTAAATGCAGAAAGTTTCATGTAAAGATTATAAACAGTCCTATAAAGAGTCCTATAAACATTTTATGAATTCCAATCCAATATAAAATGATCGGTCAGTAAATGCAGAAAGTTTCATGTAAAGATTATAAACAGTCCTATAAACAGTCCGATAAACATTCTATGAATTCCAGTATGCAATAAGTCTAAATGATCGGTCAGTAAATGCAGAAAGTTTCATGTAAAGATTATAAACAGTCCTATAAACATTCCTATAAACATTTTATGAATTCCAGTAGGCAATAAGGCTAAATGATCGGTCAGTAAATGCAATAAAGTTTTATGTAAAGATTATAAACAGTCCTATAACCAGTCCTATAAACATTTTATGAATTCCAGAAATAAGTTTCGGTGTAAATGCATTATAAAGATTATAAACCCTATAAACAGTCCTATAAACATTTTATGAATTCCGATATGCAATAAGGATAAAAATGATCGGTCAGTAAATGCAGAAAGTTTAATGTAAAGATTATAAACAGTCCTATAACCAGTCCTATAAACATTTTATGAATTCCAATATGCAATAAGGCTAAATGATCGGTCAGTAAATGCAGAAAGTGTCATGTAAAGATTATAAACAGTCCTATAATCAGTCCTATAAACATTTTATGAATTCCAATATGCAATAAAGCTAAATGATCGGTCAGTAAATGCAGAAAGTTTCATGTAAAGATTATAAACAGTCCTATAAACAGTCCTATAAACATTTTATGAATTCCAATAGGCAATAAGGCTAAATGATCGGTCAGTAAATGCAGAAAGTTTCATCTAAAGATTATAAACAGTCCTATAAAGAGTCCTATAAACATTTTATGAATTCCAATAGGCAATAAGGATAAATGATCGGTCAGTAAATGCAGAACGTTTCATCTAAAGATTATAAACAGTCCTATAAACAGTCATATAAATATTTTATGAATTCCAACAGGCAATAAGGCAAAATGATCGGTCAGTAGAAAGTGTCATGTAAAGATTGTAAACAGTCCTATAAACATTTTATGAATTTCAATAAGGATAAATGATTGTCATAAACAGAAAGTCCAGTCCTATAAACAGTCCTATAAACATTTCATGAATTCCATTAAGCAATAAGGATAAAAGATCGGTCAATAAATGCAGAAAGTTTTATGTAAATATTATAAACAGTCCTATAAAGAGTCCTATAAACATTTTATGAATTCCAATAGGCAATAAGAATAAATGATCGGTCAGTAAATGCAGAATGTTTCATGTAAAGATTTTAAACAGTCCTATAAAATGTCCTATAAACATTCTATGAATTCCAGCATGCAATAATCCTAAATGATCGGTCAGTAAACGCAGAAAGTTTCATTTAAAGTTTATAAACAGTCCTATGAATATTTTATGAATTCCAACAGGAATTATGGCTAAATGATCGGTCAGTAAATGCAGAAAATTTCATCTAAACATTATAAACAGTCCTATAAACATTTTATGAATTCCAATAAGCAATAAGGCTAAATTATCGGTCAGTAAAAGCAGAAAGTTTCATGTAATGAAACCGATATTTTTGCCATCATCGTTAACATAAAGGAAATTTCCAACTGTATACTTCAAACGTCTCTGTCTAAACTCTACCATTTCATATCTTTTTTTTTTTTCTCAACAGAAATAAATTTCTTACATTTTATTTAGTAGATTTTCTTCAATTGGAAATAAATAGCTTCAGATTAATTCTGACAAGGCTAAAATAGCTGTGCATTATCTGACGCGCTAATTCACTGGCTTGTGAGTTTATTTTTTGTATAATTGCTTTCAACTGCCTCACATCAAATCTTTTGACCGTCTAAGAGTATCGCACGTCATATTTTTCATTTCAGTTGTAGCAGCCGGAGCAATATATATTCGGTGGGGGCGTTCGGTCTGCCCGAGGACATCTACCCTTATCTATGATGGTACGTTCTTAATAAATTCTTTTTTCTTCTATCTATCTATCTATCTATCTATCTATCTATCTATCTAGAAGACGCACTTTTTGTTTGACATTCTATATCGATATAGTTTATATAAAAACTTTCATTTATCTTATTTGAATCCTTATTCTGACTTTTATGTTTTTTTAGCCGATCCTCAGTCGATGTTTTTGGTGAATCGGTTGATCATATTTTTAATAAACACACACACACACACACACACACACACACACACACACACACACACACATACATACATACATATATATATGTATATATATATATATATATATATATATATATATATATATATATATACAATTATAGGATTGGTGTATAGGAATAAATTCCAATAAACAAAAAAAAAATACTATTCTTGGAAGAGTTTGGTCGATGTGAACCTTTTAAACCTCTTTATTCTACATTCAACACCATCACTTGATAAAACCCCAGAAGTGTTGAAACAAAATGACTGTTTTTGTACTGATTTTATAACATGTTTATTTTACAATTTTCGAATATATATATATATATATATATATATATATACGCCCCCGAAAAAATAAATTTCGGTCGAGAACTTTAAAGAGAAAGCGTGAATTTGTAAACAGTGACTGTTACTGCTGATAATTCAAAGCTGTTCTATGAATCGAGAACTCTCAGCCATTGGCGTGTTTATTCAAAATAAATACGTAAAAATTCACTTTCGAGAACCGATAGCTTAGGGAGAAAATCTCCGACTCATGCCAAATCAGTCGTGTTTCGATCCTGACTAGAAGCAATCAGATGTCTTCACATTGATGAGCAAATTCAGCAAATCATCATGTCGATAAATTAAATCACAACCTCTCCCGCAGAGAACTTTAAAAAAAAGCGTTTGACCAATAGAAGAAATAACAAAAAAAAAAAAAAATTAACGATAAAAAACAAATGAACGCTACAGGCAAATTTCACTTCTTCAGCGACAGTCATTCACCCCTGTAGTTCACGGATACTAACAAGGAGGATTTTTTTTCTCCTGATGTTGGCCAAACTGCCGGAAACTAGTCGAGGCATCTAATTTAAAAAAATAAAACCAAAATATTAATGTATTGTGTGTCTGAAATTCTAATTTTTATCATTTTTTATTTTTCAATATATATATATATATGTATGTATGTATATGTGTATATGTGTGTGTGTGTGTGCGTGTGTGTGTGTTAATTAAATATATATATATATATATATATATAACGTCTGGATTATTTCAAGCATTGTTTGTAAAATTATACCATTTAAATCTTCGGTCTGAAGAGACTTACTAGTCGAAATAAATCTTGATTTATTGCCGTATTTTCGTAATGTGTTAAGCTTTTCCTTGCTGTACATCCTATTGCTCTGTTGTCTTGAGCTCTCTACGGATATAACTTTTAATATTTTATATTAAAAGAACCACTTAGATTATCTTTTCCAATTACGGATTTGATATTATTTATCTTTTTCTCTCTCTATATATATATATATATATATATATATATATATATATATATATATATATATATATATATATATATATATATATATATATATATATTAGGGGAGAAACTGATAGATAAATAGATTGATTTTATTATATTTAAGAAAAAACATTATGAAACTTAATAAATGTTCCTTGACAATCACTTTTATGAAATACTGTTATTTTTTTGTGCAAACGTGCTCGATGTTTTGGGACTTCGTAGATGTAGAAGGTTGAGTGTTTGTTTCGAGCTATTTTCTTTGATCTATTTGCTATTCTATTTAGCTATTTTGCTTTCTAACATCACGTCTGTCGTTGTTATTTTTCCTGTTCTAATTCTTTTTTTTTCTCCGAAACATACATTTTTTTTCTTTCTTTTTCCGACCTGTTTTCATCCGGTTTGGCAATTTCTATGATTTTGATAATTACTTCAAGCTTGCTTTGATCACAGTCTTTGTTTGGTTGCTTTTTTTCTTTCTTTCTTTCTTGGTCGTTTATTTCTTCCTTGTCAGCTTGCTTTCTCCTTCAGTTGGCCTTTGTACCAGTATTTCTTTCTTTTTTCAAACTTCCTACGGCCCCTCTAGGTTTTTCACTATAGATTTATTCCTTTATTCTTTCTTTTTTCTTTCTTTCCTTTCTTTCTTTTTTTTCTAATAATCATTGGACGCCTCGGTTTTCCTTTTTTTTTCTATTCAAATTTTTAATTTAACCAGTTTTCCTCTTTTTTTATTTTCTTTCTTTCTTTTTCTTATTTTCAATGAACACCTTCTTTTCTTTCTTTCTGTCTTCCTTTTTCCTATTTCTGTTTTTAATTCACCCGAGTTCTCTTTCTTTCTTTCTTTTCCAGTTTCCATTACCTTTTATTACATTTCTCATTTAGAATTTTCATTCTACCTCTATTTTCTTCCTTTCTGTTCCAGATTTTGATTTAAATGACTTTGACTTCTTTCTTTCTTTCTTTCTTTCTTTCTTTCTTTCTTTCATAAAGAAACAATACTTTAACATCAGTTTTCCTTGCGTATTTTTTCACATAACCCCATTTTTCCCTTTCCTATTCAATTTTCTTAGGTATAAGTGGAGGCGAATTCTACACCCACACTGGAGGCAGCAGTGATATTCTGTGTTTACCTAAGAATCCAATCTGGGAAAAGTTCACTTCTGCAGCAGAAGGGTCCGCTTGCATCCACGGCGTAGAATATGAACTCGGCTTGTACCAAACATTGAGCAAAAATGGAATGTTCTCATCCAAAAATGCGCAATCCCTTCACGACCACAACGTACCTTGTGCCGTTTGTCAAACGAAGGATCCTGGCTCAGTAATAATGGTCCCAGCTAGAAACCGCTGCTATCCTGGGTGGATCCTGGAGTATTCCGGGTATCTTATGACCAGTCATTATAACCACAATGGTAGGACTACCTACAGTTGTGTTGACAAAGACCCTGAGGCTGATCCTGCCGGTTACAGAGATGAAAACGGTGCTCTCTTCTACCCAGTACAGGCGTCTTGTGGTTCCTTGAGTTGCCCACCTTACGTTCAAAATAGAGAACTGACATGCGCGGTCTGCAGTAAACCAGCCGGAGTTGCCAATGTCTCAGTCAGTAGTTAGAAATAGAAGAATGAATAAAAGGCATAATCCTAATCAAAGTGTAAAATCTAAATAAAATTTTTCTTATTGTGTGCGTTAGAAAAACAAAACACAAATTTCCTGATATCTTAAAATGTAGACGCCTAATGATTAAATAGTAAATAAAAATACAAATACTGCTGTTATAGAAACAAGATATCCCAAAAACTTAGCAATGATAATAGTAAAATAGAACAATTCTAACAATATACTGTAATAAAAGTTATATGACGGATAGAAGATTCGTTCCTACAGTAGATCTTATGAGGCACAAGAAGAGATTAACGACAATAACTAATAATAAAATAGAACAATTCTAACAATATACTGTAATAAAAGTTAGATGACGGATAGAAAATTTGTTCCTACCGTAGATCTTATGAGGCGCAAGAAGAGATTAACGACAATAACTAATAATAAAACAGAACAATTCTAACAATATACTGTCATAAAAGTTATATGACGGATAGAAGATTCGTTCCTACCGTAGATCTTAGACACAAGAAGAGATTAACGACAATAACTAATAATAAAATAGAACAATTTTACAGTATACTGTAATAAACGTTGTGATAGAAAATGCAAATTGCTAAGATATTGAATTCACTGCAAATACACTTATTCTGTCTTGCATCAATGCAAACTTAAACCTGCAAATTTCGATTATGCCCGATTATATTTAAATTAGTTTTCCTCTCGCCTCTCTTCTACTTCTCTCTTGCCCATCTCTTTTCATTTATATATATATATATATATATATATATATATATATATATATATATATATATTCAAATTTGTTTTTAATCTTAAAAGCAATAAAATATTGAAAAAAATCAGAATTCTTTTGATTTTTGTTCAATGTAAATGCATTCTTAGAGTTATCTCTTATAAATTACAGTGTGGCCCAAAGGCGTTTAAATCTGTTAACCAAAGATTCGAACACCGAATTGTAGGTATCTAAATCTAGCAAGTAAGAAAATTTAAATATCATGGAAACGTTGGAAAAAAAGTTATCATATGTGACACACCAAAGCGAAAGCAACTTGGAATTTTGAAAAACGCCAAACTCTGGTGAAAAAATTTAGATTGGAAAAAATTCTTTGAAACGAAAGAGAGTCTACTAAACTCTTATGGCATAGTAGTTCTTCTTTACACTGGTGTATGCTGGACAATCTGCTAACAAACGAAGAAAAGAATTGTGGTAACAGAAATATGGTTCTATAAAAAAGAACTTAGAATTTCATGAACTGAGTGTGTAAGTAACGAGGAAGTTTTAGGGAAAATAAAAAGAAGGGGGTTTTGTACTTAGATTCAGAAAGAGATAGCTTGAATTTCTCGGGTATATAATGAGGAAAGAAGGTTTGGAGAATTTGACACTCACATGATTTATTGAATACAAAAGAGACATAGGCAAGAAGAAGATAAAGAATATGAAAGATTTGACCATGACATTTTATTTTTAGTGGAACAAGATTTGAACATGACATTTTATTTTTAGTGGAACAAGATTTGACCATGACATTTTATTTTTAGTGATACAATGTATCGCTAAAAAACATAGAAAAATTGTCGGACCCATGTATTATTCCAGAAAGTGCCGACTCCTCCTGTCATGCTTTATTTCTACAAAAGTCAGAACAGACACAGAATAGATCTTGTTACCCTCTCTGGCTGATCATCACTTTCCAGACTCGACCCAGTTCAAAAGCATTGCTGTAGTCTTGTGGGTGATGATTTTTTTACCGTTCAATCATTTTACAACAGATTATATTTGACACGGCTATCGCTATTCTACCGCTGTTTGTCATGTCAAACGTTCCGACGAACGACATTCCTTTGTTCCACCAGTCCAGAAATTCATTGCTACGACCGGCTATGCTACGTATAATGAGTCGACACAACCTCATTCCCTTCATATACCATTTGTAAGGAGGAAGTTTCACACAAGAGGCTCCCGAGAAGATACTTCCCCGATCAATAAGCTCTCCAAATCTAGAGTTAACCTTTATCTATTCTGTACACCCTTGCTACACACCTCATTTATTAAGCCTCTGCCTTGAGCGGCGCTTGGGCTTTGTATTGGTTGAACAATTGTTAAAAAAAAGAGAAGATTTCTGCTTGTAACACTTCATGAGGTGCTTGGGAATGATGTTAGGAATAGGAAGAATACTTTACTAGACTTATGAATCCCCAGATCTCAATCCGCTAAGAATTTACGGGAATTTTTGGATCAAATTGTTTGGTCGATAAAATAGCATCAACACAACTTGCGATATTAACTGCTGGAAATTATGTGATTGATATTTAGGAGTAAAATAAAAGAGCTGCTGTTAAAACTTAAGCAACATTATAGGGTCTTTAGATATGAATATAATGATGGATATATATATATATATATATATATATATATATATATATATATATATATATATATATATATAGATAGATAGATAGATAGATAGAGGTAGGTAGGTATAGACAAAATATCAACAGATAGATATTCTATCATATATATATATATATATATATATATATATATATATATATATATATATATATATAATAAAAAGAGGGGGGGTGGATGAGGATAGATGGGGAAAAGACAAAATGAATAAGATAGAAAGATAAATGGAAGAAAATGTTAATAAGACAAAAAGATGTATATATATATAGTTAGATAGTTACATAGATAGATAGCTAGATAGATAGATAGATAAACAAACTGATATATGTAGATAGCTAGATAAATATGAACTGAGGACGAAAGATGTTGATCTAGCTAACTAGACAGATAGATAAATAGAAAACGTGAACTCATTTCAAACCGACATATATATATATATATATATATATATATATATATATATATATGATTAATTGAAGGAGAGCCTCGACTGATGCGGTATAGATCCAGTTTGGTTTAATTCAATAGACATTAAAGACACATAATTTGCACGTCACGAACGATGCCAAAAGATACAGGGCGTGAACTGCAATTGTTGTTGAAACAGCTTTTCCAGCCACCGACGGCCATGTACCACCGAAGCTTAGTGCACGCTACATTGGGGCTGCTCCTGCATTTCAAGTAAACATAATGTTCTATGGAACACACATTTGTCGAGATGGAGAGTAGGGGTTCAAAGACACAGATAAAAGCTAACACATTTACAGATACGTATAAACATATACACACGCACTCACACAAGACCGCATAAAAGCATCCCACGTAGAAAATCCAGAGAGAAATACGCTGAGATTTTCTTTTCATTCGAAATGAGTAGATGGATTGTATAATTCATCTATATAGTGATAGATGACAAAGATACAAGGGCGTATATATATATCGTTGCTTCTCAGTTCTGTGTTTAGCAAGGTGGAGGGCAAGAGGGGACAGACTCCCTCCCCCAGCACAGATGTGAAGCGGGTAGTATTTTCCACATTTGTATCAAAATATCACTGAGAGAAGAATATAGCCACGAATACCAATTTTGTTGATTGATTGGATTGGTTTGTTTTTTACTGAATACCATTCTTTTGCAGGTTATTTTAAGCCAGAAAGATATTAGATTGTAAGTATACAATTACTGATAAAAGTACTACTAATTAATCCATAGCTGTGGCGAGATGTGGTTCTTTATACGTTTCCAAAGTATATTTGTGCATAAATGAATATTATGAACCCGACTAGAATTAGAACTCGACACTTCGATTTCCAATTTCCGAGCCGTTATCTATTATACTACCTTCACATAGTAACTTACAGGAATTGGTATTATTGTTTTATTATATTCGAACTTTACTTTTGGTCTTTAATTTTGTTATTACCTTTCAGATGGCAATAATATACAAAACATTTAAATGGTAACTTAGATAGGGTCACTAAAATTATATTCGACTCCGGGCGCTGAGGAACCGTGCTATGCCAATTATCTCGAGATTAGGAGTTAACCTCAGTTCTCAAATCGGTACCAATGCGGATGACGCAACTATTAATCCTGTCGTAATAATATGTCTGATCGGGATAAATTTTTCCTCTGATAGGATGTGGAAAGAGTATATTGAATCAACTGCTAGATCAGTTGTTTGTTCACTGTGTAATGCTAAACAAGTTTTCTCGCCGGCATCTATCTTACATATTTATGCCTACTATTCATCACTGCTTTGAATATTACTGGCATGGATGGTCTGGTACTCCTGCTATCTCGAGATCATAGTAAAATCCAAAGAAGAATCTGCAATGCCACGGGTTCTGACTAGCACATGAATAACACACAAAATACGACTAATCACTCTAAAGAACTGACTTTAAAAAAAAGAGAGACTCCAAATATTCGAAGCTATCATCATACAAGGCCTTTTGAATAAAAAAGAAGTTAGTCGCAAAACTTATGTTAAGGTGAGCAGGATATAGACCGAATTGCAGAAAACTCAATAAGAAAGAAATATCATGACATGCTTTTTTCTATATATATATATATATATATATATAGTTAAATTCCCAGATGAATTCTGTGTTGATGCCATATATATATATATATATATATATATATATATATATATATATATATATATATATATATATATATATATACAGGTAGTAATTCGTAGGTATAATCCAGGCGAGTCCTATTAACAAAACATAGAATTTGAAATATGTCAAAAGAGACTCAAAAAAGAGCACTCAATATTTATTTTCATTAAACAGAGCAAATTTTCTTTACAGTTGGAATTAAGATACCTTTAGTTAATGACAAATTCAGATATGACCATGTATCCCACTATGTCCCCCTCTAATTAACTCTCACTCTTTCCCTAAATATCCCACTGATAATATAAACTGTTTAAAAATGTCTGCGAATTTTAAAATTAAGTAAAGGTAAATTAATTCCAATTTTAAAGAGTATATATATATATATATATATATATATATATATATGTTGGTCTCTCTCTCAAGAGCGGAGTGATGCGGTCGGAGAAATTGTTTGACAGCCATAACTGTATTCTCTTGCTTGTGTGGTATGGCGCAGAGTCTTATTGTCAGCCACTATGTATGACAATAAAACACAGCTCCATACAGTTAACCTCTTGGCCACCACTATATACTCTAGGCACGCGTGTTGTGTCTGACACCCTGTGGGAAGATGAATACAGACATAATGTCGCTTTCACAAGAGATCATCACCTTCGTAATCACAATTAGACTCATCAAACTCATTCCGAATCCTATGCGCTGTTCTCAGATTAAGACCCAAACACTACGATATACGTATTGGAGATTCCGACGCGAATGCTAAGCAATACAGCAGGTTGTTTCCAAATTTCTGGCGGACTGAGTTGCGTCATGCTGCTTTTAACTCACAGATGGTGCCCAACTGACCCTCCTATAATGTGTAGTCCACAAAATCAATAACAAACAATGCGAATGTGGGGAAAAAATGGCGACAATGTACCCATCGCACAGATATATATATATATATATATATATAAATGAATAAATTCATTGAGTCCGATATAAATCTCAACTGAAAAATAGAGGAAGCACTGGACGGCCGTTTCGTCCTATAATTGGGACTCATCAGCAGTGCGCATCCACCACCAGATATCGAAACCCTGACAGCTGGGTTGTCAAGCAGACAACATACCAACTGTACCAACCGGGCCTCGACACCGAAGAGAATCATATCAGACCCACATAGCGCTACTCACATATTCCGTGGCAGAACTACTCCTGAGTTCAATATATAACCATAAGACTGTGCCTCCTGGAGCCACGACTACTATCACCAAGCCGCGCCAACTGGAGCATTAGAAGCCGGATCAAGCAACAATAAATACATATAATAAGTAGGAGGATTTGATAAACATATAAATGAATAAATTCATTGAGTCCGATATAAATCTCAACTGAAAAATAGAGGAAGCACTGGACGGCCGTTTCGTCCTATAATTTCGTCATTTATATGTTTATCAAATCCTCCTCCTTAGTTCAAGAAGAAACGCATATACTTAGAAGATCTTAAATACAAGTTTCTCTTGTGAGTTAAAAAGTAGATATTATCAACTAGTGGGTATGTGAGCAAGTGTATTTAATTTCAATGGAGGTTCGGTTTTAACTTCATGACTAGGTGGATAATGGCGTAACTATTTATTTCGACTTGAAATATTCATTTCTTACAAGTATAAAACCAATAAAAACTCACTTTCTTTTCACCTATTTCTGTTTATATATATATATATATATATATATATATATATATCTAGAGTCATTCCGGGTTTTATATATATATATATATGTATGTATGTATATATTCATTTGTTTGTGTATGTATGTGCAAGTGTATTAATTTCTGGGAAGTATAATTTCTAGGAAGAAATAATTTTGCATGGGTTTATTGAAATCTTTCCACCCGTAAAATATTTCTCTCTCCATATATATATATATATATATATATATATATATATATATATACCATGCATTTATATAAATAAGAACAGATATACATTTATAAAATTTTCTTATATATATATATATATATATAAATATAAATATTAAACTATCTATATGTGTGTGTGTGCAATTATAATGTGTAAAGTCGGCTTTTATATATACTTGTGTGTATGTAAGTTTGTGTGTATTTGTTTGTGCATGTTAGTATGTGTGTGTATGAGAGTGTGTGTGTGTGTGTATGTATTTTTGTCAGACAATAAATACACAACGAGTGCACACAATATGCTCAGTGAAGCAATGACATTCGCTATATATGAGGCTGTTTTTCTCCTCAGATAAGAAATATTTGCCCGGAGCGAACACAGATTCTGTAACGCGATGTCTCTTTCCGACAAAGTTCAACAGCTTTCCAGAAAGATCCCTTTCAAGCACTCCACCATAATTAGCAGTTTGACCCTCCTTTTTCTGACAATAGCAGTTTTCCATTCATATTCCAGGATTGCCAGCTTAGAGAGGAGATCAAGCCAACATGTAAGTATTGCGATTATATCATTGATAGATCCCAGGGATCCGGACCCCCACCTCGTTCTTATAATCGGACACCTGTATTGTGGCATTACATCTCTGATACCATAACAATGACGCTTTTACGTTTAGGAATGATTGATTGATTTTACTGATTCTTTCTCTGTATCTTATAAACGCTTTTCAGGTTATTTAGAGCCACAAAATATTTTTAGTTTATAAGAATTTTTTTTAGATAATAATTGTTTTAGTGATATGGGTTTTACTAATTAATTCACGACAGGTGCTAGGTAGAAGAGGGGGGCTTATACCTAATCAGAATTTGATAAACAAGCACAAAATTATGAGGTGGATATAAAGTGGGGTATCAATTCCTTATTAAATCAGTATGTGAACGGATCCCTCACTATATGCCCAAGGTAATTTCTATATATTTGTATTCTAGAACATGTAAATAAATCTAAAATACAAGCTTATATAGCTGATCAATATATCATTGATTGTTTGATTCGTTTTCTACGGCTTATCAACGCTTTTCAGGTTATTTAAAGCCAGAAATATTTTTCGATTGTAAGATTTTTTTAGATAATAATGGTTTAGTGACATAACTGTTACTAATTAACCCATAGTTTAGGGGAAAAGCGGTGGATTCATATATTTCCCAAGGATATTTGCGCGTAAGTAAATATAACGAACCCAGCATGAATTGGAACTCGGCTCTCCGATTTTCAATTCTGAGACATTTTGCATTAACCCCCTGCACATCCAAACGTACAACATCTGGTTTTCTCAAGTCGTCACCCATCTACGTACTGATCAGTCTCGACGTTTCTTAACTTTGGTAATCACAAGGAAACCGGTGCTTCAACATGATGTAAGCGAAACCGTCACGTTTAGGAATTAACAGGGATTATAATTTAGTTTCGAATAATTAAATACGATGATCAATGCAAAATATTAAATCAAATGTAGGCATAGAAGTAGATTCAAGCTTATATAAACATATACATCTTAATTTATTATTCACTAACTACCAAATATATGTGTATATATATCTATCTATATATATATATATATATATATATATATATATATATGTGTGTGTGTGTGTGTGTATGTGTATCTGTGTGCGTGTTTCTAGGTATATGTGTAAGTGTGTAGTTAGGTATGTATATGTGTTTTACAACATGATTTATTCCATTGGGTGTCTAGGATTTACTTACAAATTTTGAGAATCTATTATTTAGATAATTTATTCTAACTTTAAACTCTCTTGCTTTTAAATCCCTCACCACTTACTAATATAATCAACTATCAGGAACCTAAATCCATTTGTATACAACTAAATGTTTTGGCCATAAATAAACTCCCACTCCTGCCCAACTCCTTGTCACCAACCCAGAGTCCTTACCAAAACGAGGCTTCCCTTTAAGTAGCCGCGTATATTTTCACCGATTGCTATTTAAACTAAATTCAAAACATCCATTCCGAGACAATCAGTCTTGGGCTAAGGAAGGCTGCCATATTCAGAACGTAGGCGATCATGTCTCTCCACATTATCCTTACGAAGCATAGCATACCAAAAGAACTAAAAAAAAATAGAACTCACGATACGTACTTATCTATGAGACAATACTAATGAATACTCTAAGGCCAGGCAGTTTTAATATCTATTTATTTATCTGAACCTATTCATTATCTATCTGGCGATCTATGTTTGTTCATATATATCTCCATCTATTCGTAGATATCTTGCTAGCAAGATAACTAGCTAGCTATATAGATACATTGAGAGACAGAGAAAAACAGAGAAAGATGAACAGACTGAGATAGATATAGATATTTCATTCTGTTTATAATCAAGATATTAACATTCCACACCACATCAAATAGAAGATAAGGAAGAAAACCCCATCAATATTGAAAAAGAGCGATACAGCTACCGAACTTGAGAAACATATTTCCTATTAAAAAAAGGGTTTTAAGAGAAAGATTTTATAAATTTCAATCTTAAACTGTAGTAGCTGTTTGGTCAATGAATACAGCTAGTATTGTCATTATCTTTAATTTGATGTTCTCCAGTGGAGCCAACTTAAAAATTCCGCTAAATCTTGTATATTTCCACTTTGTCCTTCAAATATTAGCGTTTTTTTATTTAGTCACATTTGCCAGAAAGGTATTTACTTTTCTTTTCTTTATTCCATGCATGACGCAAACAAACTTTTATATTTTTTATCGCTCTCCAGTTTTTGAATTTAAGGGAAACGATGCATACTCTCTTAAGAATGAAAAGACAAAATTATATTCATTGCAAAGCAAACATATGATCAAATAATTATGAACTGGTTCTAAAATTGTTTCTTCTTCTGTTCTCTTTGGTTTTATCTTATTCCTGTGAAGACTGAAGCACAAAATAGCCTGACTGAATGCGTCTTCGGTTAAGCTACTTGTCAAGGGTGGACAATTGGCCTGGACTTTTCGGACCGAACTTAGACCAAATTTTCAAGTAGATTTTGGTGTCCGACTGGACAGGTCCAGTTTAACAGTGTCCAACTTCAATCTTTCGTCATGACTCGACTCGAAAAGTTCAATGAGTTGAGTCGACTCAATGGGCATCAGTTCTCGCGGATCCAAATCCCTTCGTGGATCGGATCAGATCTGACCCGCGGGTCGTAGGTTTCTGACCCCTTCTCTCCGCAATGTACTGAAACCACGTATCGCTTCTCTGCGTCACTGTAACCACAAAAATATTGGGAACCAAATCTTATAATAGATAATCATCATTATTATCAGAGTTGTTTCGACTTGAAGATACACTGTAAATCAATGAGATTTTCTCATCTTCAGCATACAAAATCCATACAATATTACTGACTACATCAGAGACGGGAGGCAGGGCATAGAATGCATCAACCGAAATGATATGATCCTTGTCTTAGAAGTGTACCCATTTTATAAAAACAAGAAGACTTATTTTTGCAGATGAATTGTATTAGTGATAATATAAAAAAATGTTATTTTCATATTCAAGATTTGCTTCAATACATCTAGTTTATTAAACTAAAAAATTACATAAAGTAAATATAACAATTTATAAATAAAAGAAAAAAAAAGTTTCGTCACTCGATAAACGATATCAAGTTAAATGTGGAGATTTTATTTCGTAATTTGTATTTATGCACAGAAATGGAAGAAAATATCGTTATGTTTTCAAATGTTCTAAAATATTTTAAAGCGAGCTGCGCAAGGAAAGGTTAACTATAGCAAACGGCAAGTTCAGTAATTTATTGATGTCATTTATTGCCTAATATATAATGATGTCATTTATTGCCTAATATATGATGATGGCATTCATTGCCTAATATATAATGATGACGGATATTGCCTAATATATAATATCATTTATTGACTAATATATAATGATGTCATTTATTGCCTAATATATGATGATATCATTTATTGCCTAATATATAATAATGTAATTTATTGCCTAATATATTATGATGCCATTTATTGCCTAATATATAACAATAACAATTGAATCTTTTGCATTGACTCTATTCTTTAGATAAAAAAATAATTATAAATAAACTTAACTTTAGCTAATACCGATATTAACAAAAGTCAATAATATCTATATCTAATATCTATATCCACAAATGAATATCTACATAATTGTGAATAGCTGGTCAAGACAAATAACTTTCTTTGCATTTCATCAAGAACCACTAGATGAATCGCAGAAGCACTAGAACAAATATGGCAATAATCTTCAATGCACAGACGAATGGTAGATTTATAAATGTGCAAGATATATTCTGGATTATCTAGCACGTCACGATGAACCAATACTTAGCAACTGATTCACTATAGTAACTACATTACATATGGCCACAGTGAAATACATCAACGAAACATCCAGAAATCTCAAAAAAGGCGATGCGAACACCACAGCAATCTATTGCCTAACAACGCTTCAAACGTTCTGTAACATATCTGACCAAAATTTCCACACAATAAATACCGGTCTGATTAGAAGAGAAACTAATTTACAAAGAAAATGCATTGAGAGTTGGCTACTTAAGCGATTGGCAACAACAAACCTACGACCGTGCTCATACATAATATCACCGATCATCGCAAAAGCAATAAGAGCCGAGTACAGTATACGAAGCAATAGAGAAAAAACAGTTATACTCTGAGTTGGCCAATTTCAATCCAGCTTCAGTAATAAACCACAAGCACACACACACACACACACACAAAAAAAAAATTACTTCTCGTCAGACCCCAGAAACAGTAGGACTCTCGCTTACAAATTTTGATCTATACTTTTTCACCTATGTGTCGTGTTACTTCAGGAGGTTTTCAATCATGGCTCTCCAGAACTAAACAGAGCATGGATTCAAGACATCCGTATACCGCAAACCGACATTCACCGGACAGTACCTCAATTTCAACTCCCACCATCCATAAAGCGTAAAGAAAGGGATCGTCCGCTGCTTATAAGTCATAAGTGGCGACCCAGAGACATTAGATAAAGAATTGGTCAGTATAAGCAGTACCCTACAACGTAACAACTACCCTGGGTACATGGCAGCAGCCCCAATAAACTGCGATTGGCGGGTACAAGAGGAGAACAACATCGCTCAGGAAACAGTCTGCCTGCCCTATGTGAAGTGGTTATCAGAGAAAATACAAAGGTTCTGCGGTCCATATAACATCAGGACAACCTTCAAAAGCTGGACGACACTTCGCAGATATCTCTCCCGAGTAAGACCCCACCATAGAGGAAAACATGACTAAAGGTAAGACTTCAAGAACACAAAAAGCTGTAACATGAGGTGAAGTGAAAAAATCAGTCGCGGCTGTCCACATATGCAGAGAAAAGGAGACCACTGCCCTCTATGGAATCAGGCTGAATGCAGACCAAGACCATCATTGGAAAGTTCGTAAACGTAAGGAATCAGCATATATGCTAAGCCACAAAAATCTCCTGAGTCGACCAAGCATAGAAATGAATACAATATGCGAACCAGTAATAAGGAGTGCCAGAGAAAACAATAACAACAACGAAAATTGCAATATGAGTTCTGGTAAAAAATCATGCAATGATAACAGCAAAAATTGCAATATAAGGTAAAAAATTGTTGCTGAAGACATTAGGTTTATAAGTCCCAGAAATTCATACACAGATGACGTCGAGGACACATGTAACAATGGATAAAAACGTTAGTTAGATCCATTGAGTTCAATATCAGGTTAGGGCGGTAGAGAACTTGGAGAAGAAGATTAAGAGGAGATAACTGACATCCATTAAACATGGCACGTGGAACTAGAACAGTCTACCCCAGCGAGAGAAATAAAGGATTCAGTTCGACATTCCAACGACCTGAAGAAGACGGAGCGTACAACGGCCGAAACATTGTGATAAATATGGCAATAAAGATGAGGACGATAGTCCGAACAATGTAAATAGTGAATATGGTTTCCGCATTGCCCGGTCCACCGATGACGTGCTCACGTCCATAACTGAATTTATATACCAAGCACAAGACAATAACGAGAAGCTTGAGCCGTGGCCTTAAATATCTCTAAAGCGTTTGATAGTGTCTGACACGCTGATCTTCTTCGTAAGCTTCAAGCATGTGGCATTACAGGACGAGTATTTGACTTAATAAAATGATTCCTGTCAAACTGTGAAATGAAGGTCGTTCTAAACGGGTTCTCCTCTAGTTCCTTTCACACGAAAGCTGATGTTCCTCAAGGCTCTGTTTTGGATCCTACACTGTTTCTGATCTTCATTAACGATCTAATTTGTGTCATCAGTTCCCAAGTAGGCATCTACGCAGACAACTCTACTATCTAACTAGTAAATCTGGTGTCGCTGACAAAACTAACCTGGCCGTTGGTCTCGAAAAGGACATCCAATACTTGGTTGACTTAGGCAGGATACAGCCTGTAAATATTAATGCTTCCAAAACGAAACCGCTCTCATTTACCCACCACAGAGGACCCTCCCTGCCTCCCGTCAGAATAGCTGATCATCAACTCCACGAGAGCATCTCTCTGTGCCTTCTTAGCCACACGATGTCAGCTGACCTGAGGTGGAGCAAATACATTGAATCAATACTGCTAAATGTAGTCATTTCTTCTACTCCAACAGCTACTTATGCTTAACTTCGGTCGTCGTATGGGAACCGCCTGAATAAAAGACACATCATTGTTTGCATTTGCTACATTCATTTTCTACACGCATTGAAAGGATTCCTACCATTATAAATTCTGAATTATTCTAATATGTTTCCCAGGAAAATCAAATTTTCATAGTATTTCAAACAGTACATTGTGTCATGCCTTATTAAATCATTTAGCATTATATATATATATATATATATATATATATATATATATATATATATATATATATATATATATATATATATATATATATATATATTTTATAAAACAGGGATGCACCCTTCTAAGTTATTTCCCTGTTCTGTTAAAATGATAGTGAACTCTTGATAACCGCGCTGAATAATTTCTACATCGTTGCGATTTCGTTGCGTCCGAAAAGTGATATTTCTGTCAACAATGAAAATAACTACGTCTTATCAGAAACATTTAACTTGATTACTTAAAACCAACAGGTCAGTTGCAAGTTTACTTCTGTGCATTGTGTTTATTGAGCATCCATACAATAGAAACACCCCTCCTAAGTGAAGGCCAGGGTCATTTCATCTAAAAGAAAGATGATGGCCTTAGTTTTTGGGATTTAAAATGCATTGTTTTTATTGACTGCCTTCAATAGGACCAAACCATCAATGGTGAGTACCATACCAACTTATGAAAGGCAATCAAGAAGAGGTTTTGTTTATTATGGTCACTAAACGATGACCAATTTTTATTGTTGATTATTAAAAGCTCTTACATTAAAAATCTTATAACACCTAAGAAATAAATAAAGGCGCATACAAGTAGCAATAAGAATGAATTAAAAAGTATTAATCATAAGAGATAAAAGAAGATGGCGTTAACTTGGCAATTAAAATAATACTAAAAAGGCTTCATCTAGAAGAGTAAATGAAATAAATAAAATTAGTCATTAATCATATGAAATTATTAATAATATAAATGATAGGATAAAATCTTCTACGTGCTGTATCCCTTCGGGAAGAGGAGGATAACGACTCTCCACAGCTTTCTTCCTTTTCAGCGCTAAAAAGCGTACATCCCGATAACATACCTCTCGATCCTTGCTCTGTCTTTCAATTACAGAAATTTGTTAGTTTTCTTATTCACTAATTTCTGAACTAACCTTCAATACACCCTGTGAGGATTGAATTCTCCAATCCCTCTTTCCTCATTATGAGTTCATGTAATTTCAAATGTCACTTTCTCACAGTAAGTGTAATTGTCTTTTCCATTCTCATTTTTCTTAAAACTTCATCGTTGTAAACGCGTTCTTCTGTGGGAATTCTCAACATGAATTGTACCCTTAGAAAACGTCACTTGAGACGCACATCTAATTCTGTGCCTTCCACAGTCACAAAACGAAAATCAAGCTTCTTTTACTGTAGTTTACTAAAAGCCAATACGTCCAAACTGTTATAACACGGCAGAAATAGACAAAGAAACAATCATAGCATGCATAAGTAAAACGTTCAGGTAAAAACCAAAGTTAAAAATTAGAATAAATTCAAAAGATAATACAAAGTTGTAGATAAAACTTTTGCCTGCTTCTGAGCTAAGAGAATGGTTTACTTGAAATTCTACGACTGGATTCTTAACTACAAGAAGGAAGAATTCAAGACTTGATGTTTAAACTAGAAAAGATTGACGTAACATTAATGCCTAATGAGAATTCACTAATGTACAGATTCCTAGTTGCACGAGACATTGTCAATAGACATTAACTGTAGGACTGCAAATAAAATTTCATTTTTCAATATATGGCATAGTTCCATATTCCTGTATTCCTATTCGCCTGTCATTCATAGAGAAATAACGATAATTTCCAATTGTGGCGTTTCCAGCTGAAGACCCAACCAGGATTTCTCATCAGTGGGTAAATTCTTAACAATATCAAATACGAAGATGACACTCCGTTGATGGCAGACAAAGATGGAACACGACATGACGTTTAAGACAATCTAGTGAAAGAAAGTGAGAAGAAAGGACTAACCATCAATCTTAAGAAGACGGAATGAAAAAGGAACAGCTTAAGATGCGAAAAACGAATTAAAGATGGCGACTTGAAACAGGCGCAAAAGATTAGATATCTGGAGAGTGATTTAACAGAGTATAGAAAAAAGGGACTATGTTGAAATATAAACTTCTCATTCTATGAAAGTATCTTGGTCAGCATATGTACCTTTCAAACGACCCTCATGCCTGGCCAGATTTGTGAATGGCTGTTGAAACGGGGTGTGGGAGGCTTGGCAACGTTACAAACATTGCTAAGATAAAAAATATAGGAAGTCGTGAAGAGCCATTGCCGCCCATTGTCTGAAGGGGGTGTCCTTTCAGAACGTGGATGACAATGGCACGTAGAAGAAGAATCTCTTAGTGTTATTGACGTTATTTACACTAGCGCGTTATTAAGGCCGTTCCATCTTACGGACCGCTTTTCGGCTTTGAGAATGTTCCTGAAGAAGTTCATAGGAAGATTGAAACGTCGTGTGGGTGAATGAGAATGTTATCTACATCGATATTTTTAATATATTTGATTTGGTTATTTCAGGATATTCAATTGTTGAAAAGATCCAGTGATAAGAAAAATGTTGGAGGCAATACAAGTAAGTTTATTTACAATCATACAATAAACACTTTTTTTATTATTGTATATCCTATGTATCTATCTTAAAAGTAAGACTTGACAACATACTATCACAATAAAAGAAGTGGGTTTGCAAGCAGCAACAATTCGACAGATTTTCAACGATTTACGGTCGACTTCCAACAAAAAAATTCAAGTTTTATTTTTTACGATTCATCAACCATTTGTGGGTTATTCTGCTCCCGAGTAAAGTCAACTCCAACTATACGTCTAACGTCTCCGCCTAATTTCAGGCATTTTATTTAGTAGTTTTTTCTCAATAGGAAATAAATAGCTTCAGGTTAATTCTGACAAGGCTAAAATAGCTGTGCATTATCTGACGCCCTAATTCACTGGCTTGTGAGTTTATTTTTTGTATAATTGCTTTCAACTGCCTCACATCAAATCTTTGACCGTCTAAGTGTATCGCTCGTCATATTTTTCATTTCAGTTGTAGCAGCCGGAGCAATATATATTCGGTGGGGGCGTTCGGTCTGCCCGAGGACATCTACCCTTATCTATGACGGTACGTCCCTAAGAAATTCTTCTTCTTCTTCTTCTTCTTCTTCTTCTTCTTCTTTCTATCTATCTATCTATCTATCTATCTATCTATCTATCTATCTATCTATCTATCTATTAAGAAGACGGACTTCTTGTTTGACATTCTATATCGATATAGTTTATATAAAAACGTTCATTTTTTCTTATTTAAATCCGTATTCTGACTTTTTATGTTTTTTAGTCGATCCTCAGTCGATGTTTTTTGGTGAATCGGTTGATCATATTTTTAACACACACACACACACACACACACACACACACACACACACACACACACACACACATAATATATATATATATATATATATATATATATATATATATATATATATATATATATATATATATAGGTCCGAGAAATTTTCATAGAAAATATTCGTTCTTTGACAGGATTCGAACCTGCATCATATACGGAACCGTGATAAATTCAACCTTGTCTACCGATTGGTTCTTTTGTAGCCTAGAGGTAAGGCACGTCAGCGTATATGACGGTTCCGTATAGGATGTAGGTTCGAATCCTGTCAAAGAACGAATATTTTCTATGAAAATTTCTCGGACATTCAGGCCGGTAAATGTTATTTAATACTGTTTATCATAAACATATATGTATATATATACAATTATAGGATTCGTATATAGGGAATAAACTCCAATAACCAAAAAAAATACTATTCTTAAAAAAGTTTGGTCGATGTGAACCTTTTAAACCTCTTTATTCTACATTCAACACCATCACTTGATAAAACCCCAGAAGTGTTGAAACACTTTCTTTCTTTCTTTCTTCCTTTCTTTCTCCACGTTATCTTTACCTTTCTTTTTGCTGCATAAAGAAACAATATTTTAACACTAGTTTTCCTTGCGTATTTTTTCACATAACCCCATTTTTCCCTTTCCTATTCAATTTTCTTAGGTATAAGTGGAGGCGAATTCTACACCCACACTGGAGGCAGCAGTGATATTCTCTGTTTGCCTAAGAAACCAATCTGGGAAAAGTTCACTTCTGCCGGAGAAGCGTCCGCTTACATCTACGGCGTAGAATATCAAATCACCTTGTACCAAACATTGAGCAAAAATGGAATGTTCTCATCTAAAAATGCGCAATCCCTTCACAACAACAACGTACCTTGTGCCGTTTGTCAAACGAAGGATCCTGGCTCAGTAATAATGGTCCCAGCTAGAAACCGCTGCTATCCTGGGTGGATCCTGGAGTTTTTTATTCCGGGTATCATTTATGACCAGTCATTATAATCACAATGGTAGGACTACCTACAAATGTAAATGACAAAGACCCTGAGGCTTATCCTGCCGGTTTCAGAGATGAAAACGGTGCTCTTTTCTACCCAAGAAACAATATTTTTGGTTCCTTGAGTTGCCCACCTTACATTCAAAATAGAGATTGACATTTCTTAGGTCTGCAGTAAACCAACCGGAGTTGCCAATGTCTCAGTCAGTAGTTAGAAATAGAAGAATGAATAAAAGGCATAATCCTAATCAAAGTGTAAAATCTAAATAAAATTTTTTCTTCTTATTCGAGGCACAAAACTTTCATGATATCTTAAAATATAGACGGCTAATGCTTGAACAATAAATAAAAATACAAATACTGCTGTTATAGAAACAAGGTATCCCAAAAAAATTAGCAATGATAATAGGAAAATAGAACAATTCTAACAATATACTGTCACAAAAGTTATATGACAAATAGAAGATTTGTTCCTACCGTAGATCTTATTAGACACAAGAAGAGATGAACGACAATAACTAATAATAAAATAGAACAATTCTAACAATATACTGTAATAAAAGTTATATGACGGACAGAAGATTTGTTCCTACTGTAGATCTTATCAGTTACAAGAAGAGATTAACGACAATAACTAATAATAAAATAGAACAATTCTAGCAATATACTGTAATAAAAAATAGATGACGGACAGAAGATTTGTTCCTAATGTAGATCTTATCAATTACAAGAAGAGATTAACGACAATAACTAATAATAAAATAGAACAATTCTAACAATATACTGTAATAAAAGTTATACGACGGATAGAAGATTCGTTCCTACCGTAGAAACTTATTAGACACAAGAAGAGATTAACGACAATAACTAATAATAAATTAGAACAATTCTAACAATATACTGTAATAAAAGTTATACGACGGATAGAAGATTCGTTCCTACCGTAGATCTTATTAGACACAAAAAGAGATTAACGACAATAACTAATAATAAAATAGAACAATTCTAACAATATACTGTAATAAAAGTTATATGACGGAGAGAAGATTCGTTCCTACCGTAGATCTTATTAGACACAAGAAGAGATTAACGACAATAACTAATAATAAAATAGAACAATTCTAACAATATACTGTCATAAAAGTTATATGACGGATAGAAGATTCGTTCCTACCGTATATCTTATTAGACACAAGAAGAGATTAACGACAATAACTAATAATAAAATAGAACAATTCTAACAATATACTGTCATAAAAGTTATATGACGGATAGAAGATTCGTTCCTACCGTAGATCTTATTAGACACAAGAAGAGATTAACGACAATAACTAATAATAAAATAGAACAATTCTAACAATATACTGTAATAAAAGTTATATGACGGACAGAAGATTTGTTCCTACTGTAGATCTTATCAGTTACAAGAAGAGATTAACGACAATAACTAATAATAAAATAGAACAATTCTAACAATATACTGTAATAAAAGTTATATGACGGATAGAAGATTCGTTCCTACCGTAGATCTTATTAGACACAAGAAGAGATTAACGACAATAACTAATAATAAAATAGAACAATTCTAACAATATACTGTAATAAAAGTTATACGACGGATAGAAGATTCGTTCCTACCGTAGATCTTATTAGACACAAGAAGAGATTAACGACAATAACTAATAATAAAATAGAACAATTCTAACAATATACTGTAATAAAAGTTATATGACGGAGAGAAGATTCGTTCCTACCGTAGATCTTATTAGACACAAGAAGAGATTAACGACAATAACTAATAATAAAATAGAACAATTCTAACAATATACTGTCATAAAAGTTATATGACGGACAGAAGATTCGTTCCTAACGTAGATCTTATTAGACACAAGAAGAGATTAACGACAATAACTAATAATAAAATAGAACAATTCTAACAATATACTGTCATAAAAGTTATATGACGGATAGAAGATTCGTTCCTACCGTAGATCTTATTAGACACAAGAAGAGATTAACGACAATAACTAATAATAAAATAGAACAATTCTAACAATATACTGTAATAAAAGTTATATGACGGACAGAAGATTTGTTCCTACTGTAGATCTTATCAGTTACAAGAAGAGATTAACGACAATAACTAATAATAAAATAGAACAATTCTAGCAATATACTGTAATAAAAGTTATATGACGGACAGAAGATTTGTTCCTACTGTAGATCTTATCAGTTACAAGAAGAGATTAACGACAATAACTAATAATAAAATAGAACAATTCTAACAATATACTGTAATAAAAAAGTTATACGACGGATAGAAGATTCGTTCCTACCGTAGATCTTATTAGACACAAGAAGAGATTAACGACAATAACTAATAATAAAATAGAACAATTCTAAAAATATACTGTTATAAAAGTTATATGACGGATAGATTTATTCCTACCGTAGATCTTATTAGACACAAGAAGAGATTAAAGACAATAACTAATAATAAAATAG